GGCGTGTTTAGATCTATATATAACCTACAGTCTATGGTTTACATATGTCTGTTTTTCACTGGAAGCAGGTTAGCCTAGCTTAGCATAGTGACTGCAAACAGAGCGAAACAGCTAGCCTGTAACTAAGTCCATTTATTTTACGTTTCTGAGGTAGGCCTACTTTACATGAGTTTTTCTACTGTACCTTATACTGTTCACCCTGCACTATATACCAGACAGTTTTAGATACTTTGCAGATTGAGATTACGTTTAATAATACACATTATAAAGTATTTTTTCATATATTATTTCAGGTTAAGATAAAACTGCATTGGTCCCTTCGTGCAATTCTGGCAGAATTTGAAGTGAAAAGGACCAAATAGCTGTTTTATATTATCAGTGCTTCACAAAGACTCCTCTAGTGGCACAGTTTGGTAAGTATAGGGAAACAATTAGAGGACGCATAATATAATGGTTAAATAAGTTGGAGTTGAACAGAATTAAAGATCCGACCTCCTCTATGTATGGACTTGATCTGCAACGTTGGTTAAACTTCTTCTCTTTGTACACCCTGTGGACAAAAACTCCTTATTTTCTACCAGGAATAGATATTTTTGTCTATAAAAATATGTTTTCTTGAGCATTTATTGATGAAATATTATTGGAAAGGCAATCAATCAATCAATCAATGTTTATTTATATAGCCCAATATCACAAATGTTACATTTGTCTCAGTGGACTTCACAGTTTGTACAGAATATCAGTATGACAATACGACACCCTCTGTCCTTAGACCCTCTGTCCTTAGACCCTCTGTCCTTAGACCCTCTGTCCTTAGACCCTCTGTCCTCAGACCCTCTGTCCTTAGACCCTCTGTCCTTAGACCCTCTGTCCTCAGACCCTCTGTCCTTAGACCCTCTGTCCTTAGACCCTCTGTCCTCAGACCCTCTGTCCTTAGACCCTCTGTCCTTAGACCCTCACATCGTACAAGGAAACACTTCCAGAGAAAACCCACAGTTTAAAGGGAACATGGGAGAAACCTCAGGGAGAGCAACAGAGGAGGGATCCCTCTCCCAGGACGGACAGACGTGCAATAGATGCCGTGTGTAAATCGAAAGAGATAATACATTTTACAGCATATAGACCGAATGTTAGGAAATGCATGTGTCTGTAATAAGAAGATGAATCCACGAGGATGTCAGCTACAATCCTGTGGAAGCCATCAGGGAAGTAGTATGGTGAGAGTCTGGCAGGACCGCAGAGACAGGTTCAGCCACGACTCGAAGTCCAGGACTCAGATCCAGTGCTCAGGATAGAGGATCCAGGACACACGACCACAGCAACAGGATCAGCCTCGACTCAGGATCCCGGCGTAGATATGGACACAAAAAAGAGATTTGGGGGAAACTGGGTTAATCGGAACATGAGAGTACACAGGTACAACAGTCCAAGCCTATAGCAGCTAAACTAACGTGTCTACATACATGCACTCCCTTAGGATAGGTTGAGGGAAAGGGGTAGCAAGTAAGAAGCAGGAAACAGAGGTGGAGAGGCACGCAGGGAGAGAGGTCCCCACTGGAACCTGAATTTGTCAGAGGTAGGAGTGGGTCAGTGACTACGTTCCACACTCCCCGGCCGGGCTAGGCCTCTCTGCAACCTGTTACCCTCTATAGAACCTCGAGAGGTCAGAGAGGGGAAAGGTTTGGATAAAGTTTTAAGATCTACGTTTGTAGGATTTAAGTGAAAGAGTAAGAACTCAAATGTATCGGTGAAGAGGCACAACGTATCTACGTCAATGCACTCTTATTAGATTATTTTATTTTATCACTCAGCTTTATCAAAAAGGAAGGTCTTAAGCGTACTCTTAAAAACGGATAGGATGTCTGCCGCCCGAACACAAACTGGAAGCTGATTCCACAAATGTGGAGCTTGATAAGAAAAGGCTCTGATGATTGTCATGTATTTGATGTCATAGTCTTTATTAAACAAGGACCAAAAAACATCATTTCTAAAAGAGAAATGCCAGATTTAGCTAAAACTCATTTCCATCTGCAGCCACTGATATAAATCCATGTAGACGCAGGAAAGGGGATTAAATATAAAATATATCCAAAGAGAGCTTAACAAAAACATGTATTTGGATAAACTTGATATATTACTTTATATCCCTCAAAGCTAATAACTGTAAATAAAAGCGATTATTAACCCTAACCCTATCCTTCTGCTAACATGTACAATATCACAATCACCATAAAACTATTGGAGAATTCAGGTTGAAGTACTGCATGTCTCCTTGATGATGGTGAACGACTGAAACAACGCTGACTCACAGTGAGCTAATATCAGAGTCAGGATCTAATTTTAGAGTTTTTTTATTGCAAAACCAACGCTGAGTGCACACACACACACACACACACACACACACACACACACACACACACACACACACACACACACACACACACACACACACACACAGTCCAGATGTTTCATATTGAATGAATAGGTCACACACAACAGACAGCATCGTGATTTTTTAAAGATGTTTTACAAATAGTTACAAATAGTTTGGTAGTCGTTAAAAAATATTATATGTTCAATGTTTTATTATGTGAAACAATAAACTGTAAATAGAAACTGTAGTAACGTAATCAAAAGTTAATATGTATTGTCTCCTATCCGATGCCATACATATATATATATGTATTTATTTATAAGATTATGGAACAATTACAAAATAAAGCTTAACTTCATAAAAACATATTAATCATCATCTAATTATTTGTTAATGTTGTTGTAAAATATGAAACACTGATCTCTGCTGCCACCTGCTGGTGAAACACAGACACACACACTGAGCTCCTTTTAATATGAATTTAATATATTAGGGATAAGGTGAGAAGTTCGGTCATCAGGGAGGGACTCGGAGTTGAGCCGCTCCTCCTTCGCGTCGAAAGGAGCCAGTTGAGGTGGTTCGGGCACCTAGTTAGGATGCCACCTGGGCGCCTCCCTAGGGAGGTGTTCCAGGCACGTCCAGCTGGGAAGAGACCAAGGGGTAGACCTAGGACCAGGTGGAGGGATTATATCTCTTCTCTGGCCTGGGAGCGCCTTGGGACCCCCCAGTCAGAGCTGGTTGATGAGGGGAAAAGAAAGTTTGGGGCTCTCTGCTGGAACTGCTACCCCCGCGACCCGACCACGGATAAGCGGGAGAAGATGGATGGATGGTTATCTGTGTTTGAATGAATCCTATACAAAAATAAAGACAGTCTAAATATATATGTGGAGGCATGTGGCGCAGTGGACTAGTGGACTATAGCGCTTCACCCCAAATTGCGCCTGTGGGGATTGTCCACAGTATTGAGTATGTAAGTCGCTTTGGATAAAAGCGTCTAACAAGTGTCATGTCATGTAATGTAATATACAGATGAACTCTTGCAGAATTGGGTTGCTCTCAGGAATCCAAGTCATTTGGTGCATTAAAAACATCTTAAAACGTGTTTTATGAGACGTTGAAAGGCATTATTGTAGGTTTTCAGTCTCTCTAGCAGTCTAGTATTTGTGTAGTAGGCTATCTCTTAATGAAATCAAAACAACATTAATACCAACAACACTTATTCTAAAAGTGGAGCAGGAACGACTTACAAAATGTCTCGGGTGCTAAATAAATTTAAATTAAGTCTTCAAAATTCATTTTTAAACAATCAAAAATAAAATATAGAATGTTCTGTTATATCTTTACTGCCATCTGGTGGTCACTGTGTGTATCGCATGATCAATTTAAACACGTGTGTAATTACACACAGTGACCACCAGGGGGCAGAACAATCAAACATGGCGTACAAAACAGCACAGAAACTTTCAAAAATAAAACTATAATGCAAATAAATTAATAAAAACGAATTATTATGTTCTTATTAAAAAATTAATAAGAACATGTGCACACTGCTCCAACTTTTAAAAAAATCAATAGAAATAAATAAAACTATTTTTATAAATTGAACAGAACATGTGAATCTTTCCTGCATCTACTTTGCATGGGGAAACAGCTGCGTGTGGTGTGTGTGTGTGTGTGTGTGTGTGTGTGTGTGTGTGTGTGTGTGTGTGTGTGTGTGTGTGTGTGTGTGTGTGTGTGTGTGTGTGTGTGTCCTGGCCATAGCAGGAAGTCAGAAGTTGTTCTCATTAGAGACTCTCACAGCGACAGGTGAGTGCTGCAGGTAATTCTGCTCTGTGTACTTGTATGACAGTAATACATTTAACCTTTATTATACTGTATAAAACTGTATAAATGTTATTTACATGTATAATCACAAACATAGGAGTTGTTCTGGATGGAACATGTGTATATGTGTGTGTGTGTGTGTGTGTGTGTGTGTGTGTGTGTGTGTGTGTGTGTGTGTTTTGAGTCTGTCTATCTGCTGTGGTTACACACATGTGGAAGTGTACAGATATTTTACTGAAGTATTTATACAGCAATGGAAATATACGACAAAATACTCAGAATAATACAATAAAATAAGTATTGTTATGGAAAGGGGGATGAGAGGTAGCTTGTGTACAAATGTGCACATTATTTGGAGGGTTGTGCAGAACTGGCAATACTTAAATGAAATAAATACTTGTTTGCATAGTGTGCTTAAAAGGGTTAAGTACCTAACTCAAGTACAGTCCTAAAAGTACCTCTTCACTCTGGGTCTTTACGTGATAGTGTATAATAAGAACATTTAAAAGGAGATGTCTTGAATACAATTGTTAAATAAACAATATAAATATAAACCTCAATATAAAAATAAATAAAAAATATATATAATAAAATAAAGTAATAAAATAAAAAGTTAAGAATAATTGTATTACATGCTAAAAGGGAATTGTCACTAATAAAACCTATAAAATAAATAAAACAATACAAAAATAAAGACTTAAAGACCACTTAAAAGGAGGTGTCATTAATAAAACTGATAACCTATAAAATAATACAAAAAACAATAAACACTAATTACCATTTAAAAGAGAGTGTTGCTAATACAACTGTTAAAAACACAAGTGAAATATAAACCTATAAATTAAATAAAACAATTCAAAGACTAAAAGAGCAACTTAAAGGAAGTGTTGCTATTAAAAAGCAAACCTCTTCACTCTGGGTCTTCACGTGACCTGACGGAGGGTTTAATAGCATCTGCGTGCACTGAGGTTTCTATACTTCCCTTATCAGCTCTCACCAGTTCCTGCATGCAGACATGGTATTTGAATAACTTCTCAGCACACGTTGTGTCTGTGTTCCCCTCTGTGATCCAGAAACATGAGCGACCAGGTGAGTCCGTCCTTCAACCAGAGCTCAGGGAACGAGTCGACTGCCTGCGACCAGGTGGACACGTCGGCACGCCTCTTCTTCCTGCTGGGACACAGCCTGGTGTTCCTGGTGAGTCCCTTTCCAAGTCTGATTTGTATTGTTATTATAAGACAGTAATATTAAATCAATCAATCAATGTTTATTTATAACCCAATATCACAAATGTTACATTTGTCTCAGTGGACTTCACAGTGTGTGCAGAATATCAGTATGACAATGTTGTCATGATTCTTTTGTATGTCTGGTAGTGGGTGTTTTGCTGTTCTCCTTGTCATGTTTTCCTCCTTGTGTATTGTCTGGTCCTTCTCCCTGTGTTTTCCTGTCTGTCGTTAGTATACCTTGTGTGTCTAATTGTCTGATTGTGTTCACCTGTTTCCCTTGTGTGTCTCCTGTGCTCACCAGCACCAGCCCCGCCCCTGATTGTTTTCACCTGTGTCTTGTTGTCATGTGTTTAAATTCCCCTGTCTCCCAGTGTTCACTGTCAGTTCGGCTTGTCTCTTGCTATGGTCAGGTCTATGCTCCTTGTGCTCTTGAAAAGTTTTGGTTCCTCACTTTTTCACAGTGTGTTCAGAATATCAGTATGACAATACGACACCCTCTGTCCTCAGACCCTCTGTCCTTAGACCCTCTGTCCTCAGACCCTCTGTCCTTAGACCCTCTGTCCTCAGACCCTCTGTCCTTAGACCCTCTGTCCTTAGACCCTCACATCGTACAAGGAAACACTTCCAGAGAAAACCCACAGTTTAAAGGGAGCATGGGAGAAACCTCAGGGAGAGCAACAGAGGAGGGATCCCTCTCCCAGGACGGACAGACGTGCAATAGATGCCGTGTGTAAATTGAAAAGATAATACATTTGCAACATAGGTAGTCCAAATGTTTGGAAATGCATGTGTGTATAATAGGAAGATGAATCCACGAGGATATCCATCCAGGACCTATGATCCAGGACCACAGCCACGACTCAAGATCCAGGGCTCGCGATGCAGGACACAGGACCGCAGGATCATCCATGACTCCGGATCTCGGCATATATAGACACCAAAAAGAAAGAGATTTGGGGAAGCTGGGTTAATCGGAACATGTAGATGGAGTATCAGTAGTAAAAGTACACAAGTATTATTATCTTCAATGTTGGGAGGAGTACTCAGATCCTTTATTAAAGTTCAAATACAATGGTCTTAAAATACTACACATAAAAGTGCTGATTTCCAAATTGTACTGAAGTAAAAGTAGAAAAGTATTAGTGTGAAAATGTACTTTAAAGTACAAGTAAAAGTACTATGACCTATTTCAGAATAATATTGAGTATTATCAGCTTAATGTACTTCAAGTATCACAAGTAAAAATACTTGATATGCAGATTTTTATAAATAAAATGTATGTTGTTTTTATGATTATTTATTTGTATTATTATTATTATTTTTATGAATAAATATATATTGTTGCATACGTTTTATTAATACTTTTATTATTATTATTATTATTATTTTTATTCATAACATGCATTATTATTAGACGAGAGGGTCGCCTCCCTACGCCCGCGGGTTATGGGGGGGAAAACTCTGACTGTTGTGTGTGCTTATGCACCCAACAGCAGTTCGGAGTATACGGCCTTCTTGGAGACCCTGGAAAGAGTCCTGTATGGGGCTCCTGAAGGGGACTCTTTAATTTTGCTGGGAGACTTCAACGCACATGTGGGCAATGATGGAGACACTTGGAGGGGCGTGATTGGGAGGAACGGCCCCCCTGATCTGAACTGGAGTGGTGGTTTGTTACTGGACTTCTGTGCTAGTCATGGATTGGCCATAACAAACACCATGTTCGAACATAAGGATGCTCATAAGTGTACGTGGTACCAGAGCACCCTAGGCAGAAGGTCCATGATCGATTTCGTTATCGTATCATCGGACCTGAGGCCGTATGTTTTGGACACTCGGGTAAAGAGAGGGGCGGAGTTGTCAACTGATCACCATCTGGTGGTGAGTTGGGTCGAGTGGCGGGGGAAGCCTCTGGATAGACCTGGTAAGCCCAAACGTGTAGTTCGGGTGAACTGGGAACGTCTGGAGGAGGCCCAAGTTCAGGAGGCCTTCAACTCACACCTCCGGCGGAGCTTTTCGGGCATTCCTGTGGAGGTTGGGGACATTGAACCAGAGTGGTCGGTGTTCAAAGCCTCTATTGCCGAAGCCGCGGCGGGGAGCTGTGGTCTCAAGGTCCTAGGTGCCTCAAGGGGCGGTAACCCTCGAACCTCCTGGTGGACACCGGTGGTCAGGGAAGCCGTCCGACTGAAGAAGGAGGCCTTCAGGGATTTGTTATCCCGGGGGACTCCCGAGGCAGTTGCAAGGTACCGACAGGCCCGAAGGGCAGCAGCCTCATCCGTGGCCGAGGCAAAGCAGCGGGTGTGGGAGAAGTTCAGAGAAGACATGGAAAAGGACTTTCGGGATACCTGGGCGCCTCCCTAGGGAGATGTTCCAGGCACGTCCAGCTGGGAAGAGACCAAGGGGTAGACCTAGGACCAGGTGGAGGGATTATATCTCTTCGCTGGCCTGGGAGCGCCTTGGGACCCCCCAGTCAGAGCTGGTTGATGTGGGAAAAGAACGTTTGGGGCTCTCTGCTGGAACTGCTACCCCGCGACCCGACCACGGATAAGCGGGAGAAGATGGATGGAACATGCATTATTGTTTTGTTTAGATATATAAATATATTTATTCTTTTAATTCGTCCCAACAAGGGAAATTGCTTTGTTATTATTATTACTATTTATTTACTTTTTGTTTATTTATTTTCCTTTTTATATGTCGTGCATATTATTTTTGCGTTTTTTTAATATCGAGATTTTTATAAATGTCATTGAGTTTAGTGAAATCTCGTGTTCTGTGAAATGCTGTTTTCTCTTCTTCAGAATGTGGATAATTTTTCTGAAATGTCATATGTCGTTGGGTTTTGCGAAATGTCGTTGGGTTTTGAGAAATGTCGTTGGGTTTCGAAAATGTCGTTGGGTTTTGAGAAATATTGTTGGGTTTCGAGAAAAGCTTGTTGGGTTTTGAGAAATGTCGTTGGGTTTTGCGAAACGTCGTTGGGTTTCGAAAATATCGTTGGGTTTTGCGAAATATCGTTGGGTTTCGAAAATGTCGTTGGGTTTTGAGAAATGTCGTTGGGTTTCGAAAATGTCGTTGGGTTTTGAGAAATGTCGTTGGGTTTCGAAAATGTCGTTGGGTTTCGAAAATATCGTTGGGTTTTGCGAAATATCGTTGGATTTCGAAAATGTCGTTGGGTTTTGAGAAATATTGTTGGGTTTCGAGAAATGTCGTTGGGTTTCGAAAATATCGTTGGGTTTTGCGAAATATCGTTGGGTTTCGAAAATGTCGTTGGGTTTCGAAAATATCGTTGGGTTTTGCGAAATGTCGTTGGATTTCGAAAATGTCGTTGGGTTTTGCGAAATGTTTTTGAGTTTGTGAAATGTGCAGTTTAGTTTTGTGGTTTTTGAATGTTGACATTTTGGGAAATCTCATGTTCTCTGAAATTTTCTCTTTCGCAAAATGTAATTTTCTCTTTTGTGAAAGTCAGGATATTGTGCACACATTAAGCGTTCCCTCTCCTGCAGGTGGGGTTGCTCCTGAACGGCTTCAAAGTCAGGATATTGTGCACACATCAAGCGTTCCCTCTCCTGCAGGTGGGGTTGCTCCTGAACGGCTTAAATGTCAGGATATTGTGCACACATCAAGCGTTCCCTCTCCTGCAGGTGGGGTTGCTCCTGAACGGCTTAAATGTCAGGATATTGTGCACACATCAGGCGTTCCCTCTCCTGCAGGTGGGGTTGCTCCTGAACGGCTTAAATGTCAGGATATTGTGCACACATCAAGCGTTCCCTCTCCTGCAGGTGGGGTCGCTCCTGAACGGCTTAAAAGTCAGGATATTGTGCACACATCAGGCGTTCCCTCTCCTGCAGGTGGGGTTGCTCCTGAACGGCTTAAAAGTCAGGATATTGTGCACACATCAGGCGTTCCCTCTCCTGCAGGTGGGGTTGCTCCTGAACGGCTTCAAAGTCAGGATATTGTGCACACATCAAGCGTTCCCTCTCCTGCAGGTGGGGTTGCTCCTGAACGGCTTAAAAGTCAGGATATTGTGCACACATCAGGCGTTCCCTCTCCTGCAGGTGGGGTTGCTCCTGAACGGCTTAAAAGTCAGGATATTGTGCACACATCAGGCGTTCCCTCTCCTGCAGGTGGGGTTGCTCCTGAACGGCTTAAAAGTCAGGATATTGTGCACACATCAGGCGTTCCCTCTCCTGCAGGTGGGGTTGCTCCTGAACGGCTTCAAAGTCAGGATATTGTGCACACATCAAGCGTTCCCTCTCCTGCAGGTGGGGTTGCTCCTGAACGGCTTAAAAGTCAGGATATTGTGCACACATCAGGCGTTCCCTCTCCTGCAGGTGGGGTTGCTCCTGAACGGCTTCAAAGTCAGGATATTGTGCACACATCAAGCGTTCCCTCTCCTGCAGGTGGGGTTGCTCCTGAACGGCTTAAATGTCAGGATATTGTGCACACATCAAGCGTTCCCTCTCCTGCAGGTGGGGTTGCTCCTGAACGGCTTAAATGTCAGGATATTGTGCACACATCAAGCGTTCCCTCTCCTGCAGGTGGGGTTGCTCCTGAACGGCTTCAAAGTCAGGATATTGTGCACACATCAAGCGTTCCCTCTCCTGCAGGTGGGGTTGCTCCTGAACGGCTTAAATGTCAGGATATTGTGCACACATTAAGCGTTTCCTCTCCTGCAGGTGGGGTTGCTCCTGAACGGCTTAAAAGTCAGGATATTGTGCACACATCAGGCGTTCCCTCTCCTGCAGGTGGGGTTGCTCCTGAACGGCTTAAATGTCAGGATATTGTGCACACATTAAGCGTTCCCTCTCCTGCAGGTGGGGTTGCTCCTGAACGGCTTAAAAGTCAGGATATTGTGCACACATCAGGCGTTCCCTCTCCTGCAGGTGGGGTTGCTCCTGAACGGCTTAAATGTCAGGATATTGTGCACACATCAAGCGTTCCCTCTCCTGCAGGTGGGGTTGCTCCTGAACGGCTTAAATGTCAGGATATTGTGCACACATTAAGCGTTTCCTCTCCTGCAGGTGGGGTTGCTCCTGAACGGCTTCACGCTGAAGGTGTATTTCTGCACGCAGCAGCAGTCCAGCAGCGTCACCGTCTACCTGAAGAACCTGGTGGCCGCAGACTTCCTGATCAGCCTCTGCCTGCCGCTCCGGATCCTGAACTACTCCAGCACCTCGGTCCACATCCACCTCGTCTACTGCAAGTTCGGGGCATCCGCCTTCTACCTCAACATGTACGCCAGCATCTTGTTCATGGGCTACATCGCAGCCAACAGGTAGGACTGAGCTTAGGGGGGTCACAATTATTTTAGTTCAGGTCCACATACAGACAAATATGATCTCAAGTGGACCAGTGAAATCACAGCATGATAACCAAAGATTCATACTAATAAAAGTCAGCAACTTGTTATTTCCCAGAATAAAGATGTTCCAGCACCTCTAAATCTCACTAATACCAGTTTTAAATGCCAGTGTGTTTCAGAATAAAAGTCTCACGGTGCGTTTGACGTACAGCTGAAGCACCTTAGTCATAACCAGGTGTTAAAGTAATGTAATAGTCTCATCAAAATAAAGAAGTGAACAGCCACGGTTGGATGAGCTCTTCATGATATTGAGGTCAGAATACCACAGAGGTTATTCTACCAGAACGACTACTCTACTTTAGTTTAGCTGCTTCCTGATTTTGTCACTAAAACACTTTTGTCGTCAAAACAGTTCACGTAACAGAGGTTGAAGAAGCACTCTAATCCTTCACAGTCTCCATTACAGACAGTTACTCAAGTATAAGTACAGTACTGAAGTATTATCTCAAATAGCCCAAACTCTCACTTCTGTCTGGTGTGAAAGAAGATACGATAAAACTGATCCGAGACACTGACAGATTAGACTATAAAAAGGTGGTCTCTACAGCTGCACTGCGCATGCTTTGTTCATTATAAGGATGTGGGAGATGTATTTTTAAAGCTTCACGATGTGGTTTTCTAAAGAAGACTATACATGCTACAGGAAGAAGATGCTTTGTTTAGCAGCCTGCAGTTTAAAGTCTGACCAGAGTTTCTCAGAGAAAGACAATTATAGAATCAAACACATAAATAAAAACAAGGATAATTGTGTGTTATTGGTGAGTAAATAACAGTGTGTTATTTAGAAAAGAATAACGAATTAGAAGGAAACAAATATTTTTAAAATACAGATTTCAGTATCCTGAGGCTCTGAGCCGTTTCTTTTCCTCACAGACGGCAACAAAAGTCCGAAATTATACGATTTAAAATAAAAGCAATAATTGTGGCTTGATATTGAGTAAGAACATGTTTTTATGAACCACACAGCTTCCGGTCTTCCACGACCCGACCGGACAAAAAGACGTGCTGCATGCACGAAACATACTACCAATAGAAATACATTGCTTTTAAAATCGTTTTGTGTGACACGAAAAAAAAGGGGAAAATCGTGTTGGTGAACACGAATCAATAGATTAAATATCGTGACTATAACAGAGACTGGGTTGTTTTATGTGAGAATGTTTTGGTTAAATTCACCTTGTGTCTCCAGGTATCTGAAGATCGTCCGTTCGTTAGGCAGTATTTACTGACGTGTTTTATGCCGAGAACTAAACGTTTAATCATCTTGTGTTAACCACAGACCTTATTTAAGGCTTCTAACCGAAGTGCTCAAATACTGACTCCTGTCATGGCTTTAGTGTATTTATATGTGTTGTGTACAAGAAAGAAGCAAAAATCCTTTAAGTTGACAAAACGGCTTTCTTTCTAACGAAAATGTACCCACGCAAAATACTTCATTTTCTAGTTTTAAGCTTTTATCCATAAAAGTGTATCTTTCAGTAACTTTTTGAGAGAATTAATCTGTCAAATGTTCAAAACTGCATTGTCTCCCTGCAACAGCCTTAAAAACACAAACTGCCAACAAAGAAACGCAATTCCTTGTGCTTCATATTCTACCAGTTGTAAAGTGTTGTATGTATTAAAGTGTATTTATAAGTGTCGTGGACAAGAAAGAAGCAAACATCCTTTAAGACTTGTTGCTGCACTCTACATTGTTGGTTTTATGTGAGGATGTGTTGGCAAAGATTCATCTTGTGTCTCCAGGTATCTGAAGATCGTCCACCCGTTAGGAACCCACATCCTTCAGACGGTGCGAGCCGCCCACATCATCTCCACGCTCACCTGGCTCTTCCTCCTGGCCACGGTGATCACCTACGCCACCCTCTCTCTCCTCAGCCAGGAACCCTCATCCCCCGTCCTTCTGAGCCTGAGCTGCGACGCCCTGCACAGCCAACTGCTCAGCACCGTCTACAAGGTCATCCACTCCTGCTCCGTGTTGGTCTTCCTGCTCGTCCTCGTCTCGCTGGTCTTCTTCTACCACAGCACCTCCCGCCGTTTGTCTGAGGCGCAGAAGAGACAGCCGGCGTCCTCCAGGTAGAGGTGGGAAGTAGTGGAGTACAAACAACCTCAGGATCCATGTATGTGTGATCCTCTCCAGAATGGAAGTAGTCATCACATACAGAGCATCAACTAGTTCCTGAACAGTGTCCTTCACATGCTGATATCCAAGAGAGGGAGTTACACAGTCACAAGATGGAGGAATATAAAGCAGTATTCAATGTTTACTTCAGATTAGCTCCACGTCAGAAATGAGCATGCTTGTATATGTCTCTCTCCATAGAGGCTGAATCATCATGTTAATCACATAGCTATCATATGCCTCAAACAGTCCTGATGCTCTTCTAGGTAATCACACATCCTGTCATGTTCACAGCTACAGTTGGGATACCTTTGTTAGCATGTTACTCTCATATTGTTGCCGTTGTTCACCATGGAAACATTCATTAGCTAACAATGACATTATTGTTCTATTAATATAAAGGGAGGTCAGGTACTCTTTAAAACAGCTGCTAGTTATGGGTACTTTTTACTGAAGTACATTTCAAAGCCTCTTTACTTTTACTTGAGTAAAGACGTTTTGTCAGTACTTCTACTTTCACCAGAGTATTTTTAAACACGAGTATGTACTTCTACTTGAGTAAAGGATGTGTACTTTTGCCATCTCTGCCTCCAGCTCCAAGAAGCTGGCTAAGTCTCGAAGAAACATGCTGGTTCTGGTGAGCGTGTTCTGCGTCTGCTTCGTCCCGTACCACCTCGTGCGTCTTCCCTACGCCTTCCTGAGGAAGCGCTGCTCCTGGAGCCAGACCTTCTTCTACCTGAAGGAGGTGACCGTCCTGCTGTCGGTGCTCAACGTCTGCTTGGATCCGCTCATCTACTTCATCTTCTGCAAGGCCTTCAGGGCGCAGCTGAACCTGAAGAGGGCGTTCACCCTCACTCAGGCCCCGACCAGAGGAGAAAACACAGATAGGAGGAGCAGCGACGGGAGGACGAGCATCAGATTCAACAGGAAGACGTCGCTCACAACCAGCACCAGGCAGAACAGCGTGCTGTAGCTTACACACACTAACACTCAGTGGTGGTTCTAGATCGATTTCACTGGTGGGGGTCATTTTTATTTAATGAGATGGGCACACTCAATGCGGGACAAAAGACACAGGCAGTGTTATTGACTCAAATGACTCCAGGAGACTTATTGTTAAAGTATAAGACAAATACTTTATTTTCAAAAAAGCCAAAAACAAGGATCAACGCTCTTGAAAAATACAAAAGAAGGAAGCTATCAAAAAGTATCAACACAAATTCACTCAGTGTGAGGATTTAAACTAACTATCAGAAAAATATAAGAGATAAGGTTTTCAAAAGTATCAACAGAAAGTCACTCAGAATGAGGAACAAAACCTACAACAAACCAGGAACAGGAAACAAGAGGATAAACGCTGGTACGCTGGCGACTGACAAGACAAGGGGACAAGGAGAATTTAAACATGAGGTAAATGGGAACAGGTGGAACCAATCCGGGGCTGGCGAGGGCAGACACACGAGGTCAGGGAGTCAAGGGACATTTTTGACGAGACACAACAGTTATGCCAAGCGCACAAAAAGTAAATACCATTATTGGTGTTTCTTTTAATAACATAAATAGTTTCAGTGGTTAAAATGTTATTTACACAGACTAACAAACAGATTTCACTTGGGGGGGGGGGGCAGTTATTTAATGAGAGGGGCACAATCAATGCGGGACAAAAGAGACAAAGACAATGTTCATAAGTGTTAGTTTTTGTATAAAGTCATAGCGCACAGAAACATAACATACCACGAGAAAATGCATTTCCCGCTGAAAATGCGTGTGAATGCCGAAAGCTGCGCGAATGCTGAAAATGTTAATAGCTGAATGGTGACTGTAGCTGCTTTTAGCTTCAAAGCCAGTAAGTGTCTTGCTGAACTTAGTGGGAAGATGCAGAAAAGCATATCAAATTGTTGAAGCTCAAACTGTTCTGGCTGAGTAGGAAAAATAGCGATGAAGCTTAATATTTAAAAGAAAAGTTTAAAGAGGGGCAAAATCAATGCGGGTCAAAAGAGACAACGACAATGTTCAAAATGTTTATTCTTAACCGTTGTCATTCTAGCATAAGCACTTTCGGCGCTCTCGCTAACTCCCCTATCTTGTCAGGTGGAGCCGAGGACCCGACCAGCACCTGCCAGACGACATTTCAATTAATACGGTTTAATCCTTTAATAAATACCATCTCAATAATTAGTATAAATTACATAAAATGTGCAAATATGCCATACCAAACGGTACTGTGCAATCACGCTAATAAAGTGCAAAACTGTTCACTAAAGTGCTGAGTTACCAGGCCCGAAGCCGTCAGTCCACAGTGACGAAGTTACCTTCGCCACAGGGTGCCACAGGGTGCCACAGGGTGCCACAGGGTGCCACAGGGTGCCACAGGGTGCCACAGGGTGCCACAGGGGTGTCAAAGCTCTTTGTTACGGACACACTGGCCACCGTTCCCCCCCCATAGAACCGCCTATGCTAAAACTAAAAAACAATCACATTACAACTGCAAAATATGTGCTGAGTCGGTATATCGTCATATGGCAGTCGAAGCGACTTGTCAACGGGACATTTCTGTAGAACAGATGTCGGACTTCAGGCTTTAATCCGTCTTGTGGTCGGATGTTTCAGGTGTTCGTAAGTAAGTGTTTCAGTTGTTCGTAAGTAAGTGTTTCAGGTGTTCGTAAGTGTTTCAGGTGTTCGTAAGTGTTTCAGGTGTTCGTAAGTGTTTCAGGTGTTCGTAAGTAAGTGTTTCAGGTGTTCGTAAGTAAGTGTTTCAGGTGTTCGTAAGTGTTTCAGGTGTTCGTAAGTAAGTGTTTCAGGTGTTCGTAAGTAAGTGTTTCAGGTGTTCGTAAGTAAGTGTTTCGTGCACTCCTGTTGTCATATTTAGTGGCAGCTGATTTTGTTATAGAAAGGTCCATCCATTCATCTTGTAGGAGTTCAAGTTATAGAAAGTTATTCGTTCAAGAAAGTCAGGTGATGGTATCTCAGTAAACTAAGCATGAACATACCGAAGCATTTAACAGCTAAGATCCTTTCTCAGGACAGGAAAACATTTAAAGAAGTACTTGTCTAGACCCTCTGTCCTTAGACCCTCTGTCCTCAGACCCTCTGTCCTCAGACCCTCTGTCCTCAGACCCTCTGTCCTCAGACCCTCTGTCCTCAGACCCTCTGTCCTCAGACCCTCTGTCCTCAGACCCTCTGTCCTCAGACCCTCTGTCCTTAGACCCTCTGTCCTCAGACCCTCTGTCCTTAGACCCTATGTTCTTAGACCCTCTGTCCTCAGACCCTCTGTCCTCAGACCCTCTGTCCTCAGACCCTTTGTCCTTAGACCCTCTGTCCTCAGACCCTCTATCCTCAGACCCTCTGTCCTTAGACCCTCTGTCCTCAGACCCTCTGTCCTCAGACCCTCTGTCCTTAGACCCTCTGTCCTTAGACCCTCTGTCCTCAGACCCTCTGTCCTTAGACCCTCTGTCCTCAGACCCTCTGTCCTCAGACCCTCTGTCCTTAGACCCTCTGTCCTCAGACCCTCTGTCCTTAGACCCTCTGTCCTCAGACCCTCTATCCTCAGACCCTCTGTCCTCAGACCCTCTATCCTCAGACCCTCTGTCCTTAGACCCTCACATCGTACAAGGAAAAACTTCCAGAGAAAACCCACAGTTTAAAGGGGAACATGGGAGAAACCTCAGGGAGAGCAACAGAGGAGGGATCCCTCTCCCAGGACGGACAGATGTGCAGTAGATGCCGTGTGTCTTTGAACCTTCTTTGTTCTGCGGTCAGAAAAACTGCACATTCATCTGTCACATTTGCATTTGTTTGCAACGTGCAGTGTGCCCATGTGCTCTGTTTCACAAACATACGATCTGCTGAGGAAAAGGGCTTGCTCAACGGTTCCTTTGTAAAGAGACAGAGCGGCTGTTCAATGCCTTCTGGGGACGATGCAGGTCTAAAATAAACCAGACCCATGGTTTGAGACCTGCTAGTCAATCATCTCAGAGTCGCATTAACAAGATATCTTTAAGGCGTGGTTTACGGGACGTGTTGATGTTACGATAGAGGTTAGTCACTCCGGTTTTTGACGTGAAAACCGTCTTCTTGTTTATCTTTCTCAGAGATCTGAACAGTGCCGAGGCGCCTGAGCGGCAGTCTGCTCACAACCCTGAAGTTTCCTATAAATATGTAAAGAAGAAGTTATGTGTGTATTGTTTGACCTTTTATATTTCAATAAAAGATATCATGTTACAATGTTTTTGTTTAGAGCAAGATGATGAGTTATTAACCGGGGTAGAAAGGAAGTTTATTTATGTTATAGTGTTGTATAAAAACCTGGCTTTTCACTTTACCATCTATTGTGGTTATTTGTCGCATTTTTTTGTATTTGCATTTATTAAAAAACATGTTGGCATTTGTAGTTTTATTGACCTTTTACTTGTTTGTTAATCTCTTAGTCATACTGTGTCTCACACGCTGGTGCTTTGTGTTTCCCCTCACACGGAAATTCAAGTTTAATACATCTCTGTACATTTGAAAGTTTCCTCTCTGTCTGTCCTCCTAAAAATGTCAATAATCATTCTGAAACTGACTTTATTAATCGCTTTAATGCTGCTGTGTGCACCATTTGGAAAACACCTTATATTAAGGTCTACATGTGAGCCTTAATATAGTTGAGTATGAGCACGTCCATAAAGCATATTGGCTATTTATCCATCATTATAAAGCACTCGTTTATTGCTCCCCCAATAACCTCATACATACTGCCTTTTGATAATAAATAAGAAGTTATTCTGCATTAATTAGGAGCCTTGCCATGTCTGACACGTATAAGGTGGTAGTAGGCCTACCACAAGAAAAGGGTGTCATTCTCCTTTCATTCATAGTTTATTAACAAAATGCTGTCTAAATAGAGTCCTCTTTCCCCCTCATTTCAACAACTTACAACAGGGGTGGAGAACCTGCGGACCCCGGGCCGTATACGGCCCGCGAGATAATTTGGTACGGCCCTCGAGGTAATTTATAAACACAGGCAAAAAATTAAAGAAATCTAGACCGCAAACAAATTAAACAAGCGAGTACCTGTTTTTCCTGGCCAAGGTCAGGGTCCTTGAACACAACACGAGCCTAACGTGTCATCACGTGGTATATGTCTCGTCTGATAGGGGTGCAGTTCTGCCGGAGAGCACCAGAACGCCGCTCCGGCACTTCCAGAAATTGCATTACCGATAAGGAGCTGTACACATGCCGCAGTTTCTGCGTGGCTGTGTCTTTAGCTGAAAGCCCAGTGGCGATCTGTTCATCCAGGGCCGGCCCTCGGCATAGGCAGTATAGGCGAATGCTAAGGGCGCATCAACCCATAGGGGGCGCCGGAAAAAAGAAAAAAAAAAAGTTAGAAATTAAAAAGAATTTTTTTTTTTTTTTCATAATACACAATTTCCCGATTTTGGATCAACAAAGTACATCTTATTATCTTATACTAACAGAACTACGCGTACAGCGCCCATAAACTATGGCACACCCCCCCAAAATCAAGTTGAACTGCCCCAGTCCCAGTAAAAAGGTTTATGTGAAATTGTTCTTTTTTTTAAATAATGGTTTTAGTGTGCAATTATAGGTTTTAATTTATTTTGTATTTGTATTTGTATTCATTTTAAATAAATCAAACACTCAAAAAACATACACAGCTTCTGTGTGCTTTTATTAACATTGGAATTTACATTGTAAGCGGCCGCGGGGGTGAGAGCTTTAGAGAGCTCTCTCCTGAAAACTGAGAGGCTCTGATAACCTCAGCTCAGTGAGGTAAAGGCACACCTCTATATGATCATTATAGTTATAAAAAAACAAGAGAATAGATGAAAAACAGGTATAAAATACTGACAGTACAAAAAAGTTGTTATTAATAAACAAGAATACAGTTTGAAAGGGGAGTGATTTGTAAAATATCCATAAAGAAAAAGAAAATCTGCTTACAGTTCTGTTTCATATGGGTGTTGAGAGATGTATCCATAGATCTCTTCATGTTGCTCTCAAAGTGCACCAGATTGATGCTTTTAACTTCAATATTTAAAAAAAAAAGTCTTCCCGGGGGCATCTTTCTGTTTTGGTGGTCTATGCCACTACCGGGGGGGGGGGGGGCGCCAGCTAAAATCTTGCCTAGGGCGGCAAATTGGTCAGGGCCGGCCCTGTGTTCATCTGACACACTGATCATACAGTCAATAACTTTGTTGTTATTAGCATCTGGTTAGCTAGCTATGCTAACGAATATAAGAAGCTTTTTCTCCAACCAGTGAGGTAAAGGCACATCTTTATATGATCATTATAGTTATCAAAAAATAAGAGAATAAAGTAAACAGGTATAAAATACTATATGACTATACTATATTAATAAACAAGAATACAGTTTGAAAGGGAAGTGATTTAAAATATCCATAAAGAAAAATAAATCTGCTTACAGTTCTGTTTCATCTGGGTGTTGAGAGAGAGGTATCCATAGATCTCCTCATGTTGCTCTCAAAGTGCACCAGATTGATGCTTTTAACTTCAATATTTTAACCCCCCCACCCCACTTAAATCATGTTCACATGGATAGGAAACTAAATACATTTGCACACATCTTGTGTCCATATCTTTCTGTTTTGGTGGTCATGCCACAACCGTGCACGTGCATGCATGCGCGAGTCATGGTGAGATATCTGGATTCAGAGGTTGCTTTTTCTTTGCACAGCATGAAAGAAAGGTCCTCGGAGGATGTTGAAAACATTGAAATGGCCCTTAAGAGGAAAAAGGTTCCCCACCCCTGACTTACATGGCAAACATGCTTTCAGTAACCAAACAACGTCACACAAATACAAGCTACAAGTGTGTGTGTGTGTGTGTGTGTGTGTGTGTGTGTGTGTGTGTGTATGCTGCAGGGGGGCGGGGCTTGTGGTCAGCTGTGTGTTTGTTGAGTAAGAAACAGGAAAACAACCACACATCATCTACAGCTTCCTCGAGATCTGCACCAAAACCTTGAATCAAACGCACCCTGAAGACCTGAGGGGGGGGGGGGGGGACCCAGACCTCAGGTGGTCAACACGTGGTCTGAGGACCTGTGAGGGGACGCCTGAAGGTAAGGGCTCATTCAGGCTGTAGTTCAGTGTAAGCTTGTTAAATATCAGACAGGATGCTGGTTCCTCCGTCACACTCACCACTAAAATAAGAAGAAGTGTTACTCACTGAATTCATCATAAACGTCTTCAAACTTAAAATCTGCTTTCTCAACATTGTTATTTTAACTTCAGGTCACGATGGCACACATAATCATATTTCAAGATGATTGGAGGTTTCTGGCTCAAATGCACTTTGGGAATTACCTTTCCCTTCGCATGTATACATCCTCAAACTGAAACCTTATGAGATTCTTTACAAATATTAAAAGCAAACAAATATTTCGTCCCGCAGATTAAACCTGGCGACTTTAATGCTGATTGAAGCTGCATTACATTTTAAACAAAGCCAAAACTCAATGGATTGATGGAAACAAATTATCATTAGATTAATCCTTAATGTTCCACTTTAGCCAATAAAATCCAGAGTTTACAAAAAGCACGTCTAATACATGATATACACTAATAATAACAACACTTTTCTGATGATAAAACGTGATAAATGACTTTTACTCGCACAAATATGGAAGTATTAGTAGGCCTATGTTTACTGCGGTAAAGTCTGTACTGTTGACATTTAGAAACTGTGCACTAAATCTATTTGCCTGTCCGGTGCCTGTACTGCTGTAACCTCATGCTATCCTGTTGCTATCTAATTGGTTTGTTTGAATTAGCATAGCCTATATTTGCAGGGTGTTTAAGGGTGACTCTGAAACATCTCCAGGAACTACACAGTAAAAATAGCTCTTGAATTGCATTTACTGCAACTTGTATTAATGTTCTAAAAAGGCTTGATGATACAATGAAGTTGATACACTTATATATACATATTGCAGATATATATTTCACAGTAAATCTACCGGCCTCTAAGAAAGCAGATGTGGCGCTATTATGGTGATTTATATTCTGGTTGAATGAGTCAACGTTTCCTGATTCACTACTTCCTGTTGCAGTAGAAGTTTTTTATGTGACCACAGATTTGCATTTCTGTCACCTCCCGCCTGCAACTCACACCGAACTAATCCAACACACCTCAGTTCCTGTTTTGTTCACAGCCAATGGAGAAGTGACTTAAACCTGCATTCTCTCCAACATCCAGCAGGGGGCGACTGGTTATTAAAGGAATGGTATGCTCATGACACTCATTTTTAAATAATTATCATCCGATAAAACAGACCAGTCTCTGCCAGTCTTTCTTTTTTTATCCGATGACATTATCAGTGATTTTAAACTGATTAATTACCGAAATAACATCAACACTGTGGGCGGCGCCATTTTACCGGACGTGACGTAAACCATGCGTTTGGTTTCGAGGACACGTTGATGTTCATGTTATTTACTGTAGTTACTCTCTTCACATATGCCTCATTGTATCGCGAAACATTGCCACAATTCTGATAGGAACAATCCACGGAATGCTCGGTTCCATCTGTTGCCAAAAGGTAAGCGTAGGAAGTACGTTCGGAGGCAGTGGCTAGCGAAATGTGGCCGGCCCGAACCGAAAGATCCACAGGCATGTATGCAGCGAACATTTCAAGTTTCCGGACGACTACTCTGAGAGTATGATAAAACATAACATGGGATTTATTGAACAACCATTACTTAATGGAGATGCAGTACCATCGGTCTTTCTGGTGTCATCACCGACCAGGACACCAGTTCGGCCAGTTGAGAAATCGCCCTCTGCAAGTGTGAAGCGACGGAGGACCAGAAGTAGTGCTCGGAGTAAGAATAAGGTATGTTATAGCGCATTTCCATTGCAGCGGGTAGCCCCGTTTAAACGTCCTTTATCGTCCAGGCCAGGCCAGTTTTTGGTGGCCTTTCCATATAGCGTAGTACCGGCTAGTGGGTATTTCCCCCAGTTTTCCGGCCCCTTCAAATCGTGGTTCTAGGGCCAGGGACAACGAGGCTGAGTATGCTAAACTAGAGAGGGAATCGCTAGCAAGGGTGGTACCACATGCATACATATCTATTAATCAAAATCATTGTATCTACTAAGTAGTACTAAGTAGGCTCGAACCTGTATGGCTGAATTCCACCTTCCAATCTCTTCATATTGCTCAAAACTTCTTCCTCGGCTGACGAGTCCGAACTCAAATACTATGCCATGTTTTCGTGTGTTTACAAAGTGAACGCATGGATGACGTCACGACCATCACGTGACTACTGAAAATGGGCAAAATGGCAGCGGCCTGACGGAATATACAGGTTTTGATAAAAAAAGAGCTATAAAATCATTATTTACCGGGGAATATCGCTGATTTCTTCAGGGTATGGTTTAAACATAATGTTTCACTAAATACTGAAGTTTTGATTAATTATCTAATGAGTGGAGCATTCCTTTAAGAAAAATCTAAATGTGTAGAAGTCAATGAGAGAATTAGCAGATTTCTAACTTGATTTATTCCCTCAGTAAACATTTTAAAATTAGTTTAATGAACATCAGGCTGTATTGCAGAAGACTTTAAACTGCAGATCAAAACCATAAACTCGGCAGGTAATTGTTTACTAAAGTAATAAATTAAGTGAGAAGTATGGTCATTTCTTTATAGACTTCTACACAATGAGAGGCCCCCTGCTGGATATTAGAGAGAATGCAGGTTCAATACTGTCAGATTCTGCATCAGAAAAAAACAAAAATACAGCAATTGTGTGTTTTAACTTTGACAGAAAAATCTAGTGTTAATGTAGAAACCAATTTAGATTAAGAAACCCAATTAGGTCAAAGTTGTTCAAGCTCTTTAAAGTGATTTAAAGTATGTTTCCTTCACACAGGCCTCTCCTTGTTTTCCACCTGAAAACCCAACGTCTTCCTCGGCTTTAGCTCAAACATAAACCCTGAGCTCTGAGTGTTTCTGGGCTGCAGACGATGGCGCCTCCTTCCTCCAACTCCAGTGATGGAGGAGAACAATGCATCGTGAACGACCAGATGGGACCCTTCACCGTCCTCTACACCCTCGTCTTCATCATCAGCGTGCCTGGAAACCTGCTGTCAGTGTGGATCTTCATCCGCAGCCGCAGAGTCAAGGTACACTTAGAAATAGTCATGGAAAGGTAGTGAGAACAGAGGCCTGACATGAGATAAGATGAACTTACATGAAGACCCTTGTAGCTCCAGCGTCTCTTTTCAATGGATTCCAGTGAGAAGTGAGTGTGGTGTCCGGACAGTTAGAGTCAATAGAGTGGTGCAGTGACGAGTCCTAAAACCAGGAAGTGAGTTAGCATTTCACCACTTCCTGTTCCCTCGTTTCATTTCATTTCAAACCTTTATTTATACAGATAAATCCCATTGAGATCATTGATCTCTTTTTCAAGGGAGACCTGCTCAAGTAGGTTCCACATGAAACATAAAAACATTAACAGAACAACAAAAGGACATCTTACAGCATCATCACAGGGATTACAATTTACAATAACTATCCACATAAACAGGCACCAACAGCTTCCGATTGAGTAGCATCCAACCGAGCTTTCAAAACATTTAGTGGCTCCAGATAGCTCAGTTTCCATTTCAATTGCAGACTGTTCCAAGACAGAGGAGCTGCGCATCTAAAAGCTGTCTTCCCTAAGACAGTCCTAGCAGTTGGCACATTTAATAAAACCACAGCATTCGATCTCAGGCAGTAGCCACTTACAATTCTCCGTGAGATCAGGGAGCAGATATAAGATGGAAGTTTCCCTAACATGGCTTTGTATATGAAAAATGTACCAGTGACTGAGCCTCCGTACAGTTAGTGAAAGCAAACCAGCCCTTGCATACAGGGTACAGTGATGGGTTAATGCTTTACAGTTTGTCACAAATCTCAGTGCGCTGTGATACGCAGCATCTAACTTGATCAGGCAATAGGCAGGTTCATTCATATAGATCAAATCACCAGAGTCCAGCACAGGTCAAAAGGTCACAGAGCCTTTTCCTGGCCTCAAGCGAGAAACAGGGCTTGTTCCTGTAGAAGAAACCTAGCCTAACCCTCAGCTTTTTAAGCAGGTTATTGACATGCAGTTTAAAAGTGAGACAATCATCAAGCCAGATACCAAGGTATTTGTAACAGGTAACCACTTCAAGTTTTATTCCTTGCGTAGTTACAATATCTACAACAGGCTCTGGTTTCTTTTTAGCTTTAGAAAAGAGCATTACCTTGGTTGTATCAACATTTAAAAGAAGCTTTAGTTCAGAGAGCTGAGTCTGAATAATGTTAAACAGCCTGTAATTTAACACCAGCCTTCTTAATGGAGGGACCTGCACAGAACATCACGGTATCATCCGCATAAAAATGTAAAGTAGCTTCATCCACATTTTCACCTAAACTGTTGATGTAGATGGAGAATAAAAGTGGACCTAACACAGAACCTTGGGGAACACCATTAGTGATGTTTAACCACTCAGAAGACAGCCCATCAAAGTGAACACGTTGGGACCTTTCAGAGAGGTAGTTCACAAACCACCCACTGCATGGCTGGATATGCCTATACTGGCTAGCCTCTGCTTCAAAATGCGATGATCAACGGTATCAAACGCTTTGGATAGGTCAATAAATAGAGCTGCACAACTCTGCTTATTATCTAAGATACTCGTAATGTCATTCAGCACTTTCATTGTGGCAGTGATGATGCTGTGTTGCTTTCTGAAGCCTGACTGATGTTTAGACAGGATGTCATTGTACATAAAAACACCTTTACCTGTTCACTCACTAGGCGTTCGAGCACCTTCGCCAGAACTGATCATTTAGAGATGGGCCTATAGTTGTTTAATAAGGTGGCCTCCCCACCTTTTAGCAAAGGCAGGACATACGCTGACTTCCATACTTTTGGAATTGTGTTTGAGCTGAGGGAGAGGTTAAAAAGAGCAGTGAGAAGCTCCATTGGCTCTCGTCTCAGAGCCAATGGGATCTCTCCATAGGGTTTTGGAAAGTATCTGAAATCAGGTCTGTGGTTGAGACACATTTAAGAGACGGATCACGTTTTGTTCTACGACATTAAATCATCAGCAGTGACCCCACTGGTGATTTCTGAAGAGTCCCTGCCTCCTGCAGAGTGTTCCAACAAACGCTTCAACTCGTTCCATTTAGAGTCTGTGTGTTTGAATATGGATCTGAAGTTGGCGTGACGTTGAAGTCGTGCTGCTGGACTCGGCTGTAGTTCCTTTATAGCATACAAGGGCGCCGGAAGCGGGGGGGCCATTGGCCCCCCCACTTTACGGCCCTGCCCCACATTTTCGCAGCAGCGGATGCCGCGGAACACTGTACACATCCCGTTTCAATAATTCCCCTCTACTCTAAAGTCGCATCTAAAAAGAACGCCATCTGATCTAGCTGTGTATATTTTGTTATTGTTGATTGTTATATTCACTCTCATTAGCTACAGGCATTTTTGAAGCTTGTAAAGGGAAGAACACAGCTCGCCTCTCACTCGCCACTCTGCTGTTCCACAGCGCCGCTTCCCCTCCCTCCGCTGACATTATGAATGTAAGGCATAGTAATCATAGATAACACCGCAGGGTCCGTTACAGTTTGTTTTCATCTGATTTCAAATAAACAAAGTCTTGGCTTTCAGAATATTAAACTTGTTTCGGCAAATTCAGATGATAAATACAACTTTGAAGCTTCGGCATAATTACAAGCGGAGAACGGAGTAACTTGACGTCACAGCAAGCATAACAACAGCCGGTGTTTCTCCTGAGAGTTTTCCCCGGGAAACAAACGCAAAAATACACAAACACACACACGTATACACACACACACACACGTATACACACACACACACTCGCGAGCTTCCCCCAGACCAGTAATCCAAACGAAAATATCTTCCCTCCGTACTACTTTGACCATTTGCTCCGCTAATAATCAATCAGATCGATCCAGAGAAGAGGAAACTTTAAAGGCCTTTTTCTCAAAATGATGACTCTGTGACAGTCATTATATAATGTGACATATTTTGCTTAATATAGTAGGCTACAAAAATAATCCTGATATCATTAGAAAGCTAGGAATCTCCTCTTTCCAACAGTGTATACAACTCAAAATGTGTCTTCGGATCAATGCGACTGATTTCGATGGAGCAGGTCACTTTGCATTAGGTAAAATACAGCAGGCAGACATAACAGGAAGAATATGTACATTTTAATCCAATCAAATATTGTCACACCATTCAAATGTATCCATGTAAATTACAACCAATAACAAAGCTTAGATGTGTTTATTTGTTACGTTGTTTACGTTATGTGTTACGTTGTTCAGTGTGTGTCAGCCGTTAACCTAGATAGATAAACTTGCAAACATGTCAGAAGAACCGGCGCATAAGAAAACAAAATACAGTCAAACTAAGCTGAAATTCAACAACTTGAATGTCACATCCCTGACATCCACAACTCCGGAGCCTGGTCCTTCAACCATAGAACCAGCTCCGGAGCCTGGTCCTTCAACCACAGAACCAGCTCCGGAGCCTGGTCCTTCAACCATAGAACCAGCTCCGGAGCCTGGTCCTTCAACCATAGAACCAGCTCCGGAGCCTGGTCCTTCAACCATAGAACCAGCTCCGGAGCCTGGTCCTTCAACCATAGAACCAGCTCCGGAGCCTGGTCCTTCAACCATAGAACCAGCTCCGGAGCCTGGACCTTCAACCATAGAGCCAGCTCCGGAGCCTGGACCTTCAACCATAGAACCAGCTCCGGAGCCTGGACCTTCAACCATAGAACCAGCTCCGGAGCCTGGACCTTCAACCATAGAACCAGCTCCGGAGCCTGGACCTTCAACCATAGAACCAGCTCCGGAGCCTGGATCTTCAACCATAGAACCAGCTCCAGAGCCTGGATCTTCAACCATAGAACCAGCTCCGGAGCCTGGACCTTCAACCATAGAACCAGCTCCGGAGCCTGGACCTTCAACCATAGAACCAGCTCCGGAGCCTGGACCTTCACCATAGAACCAGCTCCGGAGCCTGGACTTCAACCATAGAACCAGCTCCGGAGCCTGGACCTTCAACCATAGAACCAGCTCCGGAGCCTGGACCTTCAACCATAGAACCAGCTCCGGAGCCTGGACCTTCAACCATAGAACCAGCTCCGGAGCCTGGACCTTCAACCATAGAACCAGCTCCGGAGCCTGGATCTTCAACCATAGAACCAGCTCCGGAGCCTGGACCTTCAACCATAGAGCCAGCTCCGGAGCCTGGCCCTTCAACCATAGAGCCAGCTCCGGAGCCTGGTCCTTCAACCATAGAACCAGCTCCGGAGCCTGGTCCTTCAACCATAGAACCAGCGCAGCCAGATGAACCCCAGCAGCAGCTCTGCGGCCGCAGAGGCTGTCAAAACCGCCGCCGCCGGCATCGTTGAACCGAAACAGGCTGGTTCCGACTGCATGGAGGTTTGTTGTCGGGACATTGTGACGGGCCAATAAAAGCTTATTTGGGCAAAGAGAAGGTACTTCAATGCAGAATGGTACAAAAACAGAGAGTGGTTAATTATTTGCAAAACCACTAAACGAGCCTTCTGTGAAATATGCAGATGTGCTGCTGTCAAACGGCTTGTAACTTTCTCCAAATGTGGAGATAACAGCTTTGTAAATACCGAGTTAATAACTGGAACTTTTCACAGAGCTTACTTCAGTCAAACACCAGTCAACATTCAGCTTGTCAAACAAGAGCGTAGCAGGGAAAAAAGAAGAGATGGAATGAGCAACTGCGCTGTCATATGTGTGGACTGGTCTGTGTAGTTTAATGTACAGGAAAGGAGTGAGCAGAGGGTTGAGTTGTCCTTTCTTGTTCTGTTTTCTCTGACTATCTTCCTCCTGAAGACCCTCTCAGACTTTCATTTGCTCGCGCTACTAAAGAGACACGTTACCATGGAAACCAAACAATGGTGTAGCTGTATTGAAGTCCGAGTGGAAACAGTAACATTTGGTGCGTTATGTTAGAATGAAACAAATCAGATTTAGTCAGAAATCGGGAGAAATGCAGGATAAATATGACCCCGGGAGGAAAACGGGAGTCTCCCGCGAAAATCGGGAGGGTTGGCAAGTAGGCTATGTCACATACACACGCACTTTTAGGCCCCCCCCCCACTTCTGAAATGAATCCGGCGCCGCTGATAGCATAACGTTAGCATTTAGCTTCTGGACATTAGATTTATGATTAGAACATTATAAAAGTAGACATGTGGAGATTATCCGGCTGAACAAAACGTGCATTCATCAAACAGGTTCGTTTTCCACAGACATTATTTCCAGCTATTTTCCAAAATCCTGGAGAAATCCTGTTGCTTTGTGTCGAGGGAACCGGCAGCTTCCTTCCTGGTACGTCCTCCCTGCTCGCTCTATTAATTCATGTTTTAGTCCTATGCCATGCAACTTCCTGTTTTATTTCTCGTTTCAGATCACTTAACTTCCTCTTGTCTTACCTTGTGTAAATATACAGTAGTCTACGTCTCCCTTTGTCCTGTTCCACTTCATCTTGTCTCGTGATGCTAAGTCTGCGGTCCATTTAGCATTTTGTGATCCTCAAGTTCTCAGCTTTTTATCCTCAGTCAGCGCTTTTGTGTTTTTTGCATTTCTATCCTCCCTCCATATAGTTGCACCTGGTGTTGTTCATTTGAGTCCCGAGTCTTTTTTTCAATCGTAACACCGAGCGCACGCCGGCGGAAGCTGCCACCTCCAGAAAAACCGAAGCGCCCAGTGTTTTTTATTGTCTGAGTCTTGCCTTTTTTTCTGCTCCCGGCTGAAAATAATTTTTACTTTTCAGAAAAGCGCTGGTTTATAATTGTTAGAAAAATCTCACTTGTCACCCGGTTTTGAGCTTCAATATCAACATCTCTGCTTATAATCCCTGAGTTGCCCTTTAAGTGTGTGTGTGTGTGTGTGTGTGTGTGTGTGTGTGTGTGTGTGTGTGTGTGTGTGTGTGTGTGTGTGTGTGTGTGTGTGTGTGTGTGTGTGTGTGTGTGTGTGTGTGGTGTGTGTGTGTGTGTGTGTGTGTGTGTGTGTGTGTGTGTGTGTGTGTGTGTGTGTGTGTGTGTGTGTGTGTGTGTGTGTGTGTGTGTGTGTGTGTGTGTGTGTGTGTGTGTGTGTGTGTGTGTCAGCAGCGCAGCCTCAGTGTGTATCTTCTGAACCTGCTGCTCTCCGACCTCCTGCTGCTCCTCGCCCTCCCCTTTAAGATCCTGAAGGACGGGGGGGGCAGCTCCGTGGAGCCTGAAGGTGTTTCACTGCCAGGCCAGCGCCGTCACGCTCTACATCAGCCTGTACGCCTCCATCGCCTTCCTCGCCTTCATCATCACCGACTGCTACCTGCAGGTAACATAAGATAAGACGTCTCTCGATGATGTTTCTCTGTCTCCCTGTTAGTGTAAAAGAATAAAATGTAATCTCATGGTCCTTTCTTAGTTTATGTACAGTACTAGAGCCTGAAGCAACACGTCTACATCCAGTTATAACAATACAGCCTCAAAGAAAATACTCAGGCTCTGGTCGGGTTTGCTTCTCAATGTTTACGGTCCTTTCTGCTGCCTTTAGTTCCACAACAAAGAGCCGAATGCATTTCAATCAACTCACTAATAATAATAATATATTTTATTTATAAAGGCACCTTTCAAGGCTCTCAAGGTCGGCGTACACAAAACAAAACTAAAGTCCAAAAAACTATAGCCAATAAATATTATGAATGTTTTGTATATGATGTTTTATTATTTATAATTGTTTTGATTGATGCCGACTATCTATGTATTATTATGTTGGCGTCACATGGGCGTAGTTTTGGCCCTTTAATAGACCACAGGTGCTCACATAGAAGGCAAACTATTCATTAACCGCACGATAGAGATCGCATGGGGAATTCTGGGTGACAAAATGTACCCAAGATAGCTCATAACAATGCTATCTGATGGTCTCCTCCCCCCCCCAGGACTGCACCTCGCTGTGCTCCATGCGGCTGCAGGAGGTGGGCTTCTCCTGGCTGCTGTCTGTGGTGGTCTGGATGCTGCTGCTCCTCATCATGGTGCCAAACATGGCTCTGCCCATTCAGCACGTTCAGGTATCACTGCTGCAAAAACTGCATTAGCTACAGCTGCTCCTGCTACTGCTGCAAAAAAAACTAACTTTAGGCTATAAAGGAACTTCAGCACGGTCACATGACTTCATGTCACCACCGCTAAGCTAAAGGTGGCTAATGTTGGGCTATAAAGGAACTACAGCATGGTCACATGACTTCACGTCACCACCGCTAAGCTAAAGGTGGCTAATGTTGGGCTATAAAGGAACTACAGCATGGTCACATGACTTCATGTCACCACCGCTAAGCTAAAGGTGGCTAATGTTGGGCTATAAAGGAACTACAGCACGGTCACATGACTTCATGTCACCACCGCTAAGCTAAAGGTGGCTAATGTTGGGCTATAAAGGAACTACAGCACGGTCACATGACTTCATGTCACCACCACTAAGCTAAAGGTGGCTAATGTTGGGCTATAAAGGAACTACAGCACGGTCACATGACTTCACGTCACCACCACTAAGCTAAAGGAGGCTAATGTTGGGCTATAAAGGAACTACAGCACGGTCACATGACTTCACGTCACCACCGCTAAGCTAAAGGAGGCTAATGTTGGGCTATAAAGGAACTACAGCACGGTCACATGACTTCACGTCACCACCGCTAAGCTAAAGGAGGCTAATGTTGGGCTATAAAGGAACTACAGCACGGTCACATGACTTCACGTCACCACCGCTAAGCTAAAGGAGGCTAATGTTGGGCTATAAAGGAACTACAGCACGGTCACATGACTTCATGTCACCACCGCTAAGCTAAAGGAGGCTAATGTTGGGCTATAAAGGAACTACAGCACGGTCACATGACTTCACGTCACCACCACTAAGCTAAAGGTGGCTAATGTTGGGCTATAAAGGAACTACAGCACGGTCACATGACTTCACGTCACCACCGCTAAGCTAAAGGTGGCTAATGTTGGGCTATAAAGGAACTACAGCACGGTCACATGACTTCACGTCACCACCGCTAAGCTAAAGTTAGCTAATGTTGGGCGTAAACGTAAAATCAGCTTGTTTTAACCACAGACATTATTTCAGGCTTCTAAGCAATACCACGTTCAGAAAACCATTGTCTTCCAGACTAGGGAACTGGAAGTGTTCAAATGCTGACTCCTGTCACAGCTTTAAGACTTGTTGCTGCTCCACTCCACATTGTTGGTTTTATGAAACCCAGTCTCACGGCATTTCGTGTTATAGTCACGACATTTAATCTAGTGATTCGTGTTCACACAGAACGATTTTAAAAGCAATGTATTTCTATTGGTAGTGTGTTTCGTGCCTGCAGCACGTCTTTTTGTCCGGTCGGGTCGTGGAAGACCGGAAGCTGTGTGGTTCATAAAAACATGTTCTTACTCAATATCAAGCCACGATTATTGTTTTTATTTTAAATCGTATAATGTTGGCCTTTTTGCCGTCTGTGAGGAAAATAAATGTGGCTCAGAGCCTCAGGATACTGAAATCTGTATTTTTTTAAATATTTTTTGATTTCTTCTAATTCGTTATTCTTTGTTACACCACCGCTAAGCTAAAGGTGGCTAATGTTGGGCTATAAAGGAACTACAGCACGGTCACATGACTTCACGTCACCACCGCTAAGCTAAAGGCGGCTAATGTTGGGCTATAAAGGAACTACAGCACGGTCACATGACTTCACGTCACCACCGCTAAGCTAAAGGCGGCTAATGTTGGGCTATAAAGGAACTACAGCACGGTCACATGCCTTCACGTCACCACCGCTAAGCTAAAGGCGGCTAATGTTGGGCTATAAAAGGAACTACAGCACGGTCACATGACTTCACGTCACCACCGCTAAGCTAAAGGTGGCTAATGTTGGGCGTGATGATGTTTAGTCGTCTCATTTAGACACTTGTTAGCAACCGCAGTTTTTAAATTCACCAGTAGGGTATTTACTTACTTATTCAATGATGTAGAACAAATCGTTAACATTTCTTCAGCTTGTGTTAACTTCAGACCTTATTTCAGGATAACATCCACACCATGGAGACAGGAAATGCTAAAAATGCTAACTCATATCAGGGTTTCAGGACTCATTCCTGCACCCTTGTAACTATGACTAATGCTTCTCTGTGTGTTTAGGAGCAGCGTTTCCTCAGCTGTTCGTCTCTGAAGAAGGGCATCAGCCTCCACTGGCACGCGTTGACCGTGGTCCTCTGCACGGCGCTGTTCCTGAACGCCTCGTTCTCCGTGCTGCTCTCCAGCTTCCTGGCTCTCCGGAGGCTCCTTGGCAACCGCAGAGACCCCCTGCTGAGGGCAGATGCCCGGCGGGCGGCTGTCAGCGTGACGGCCGTGGCGTTGGCGTACATCGTGGGCTTCGTTCCGTACCACATGGTGCGAGCTCCGTACACTCTGACGCAGACTAAAGTCATCACTGAGTGCAGCGTCAGGAGGAAGCTGTTCCTGGGGAAGGAGGCCACGCTGCTGCTGAGCATCCTGCATCTCTGCTTCGACCCGCTCATCTTCTATTACCTCCATGAGCCTTTCAGACAGACGCTACGCAACATGATGCCCTGCTGGAGGAAGAAGAGGAGCGAGGAAGAGGAAGAGGGAAAGGCTGCAGAAGGAGAGGCTGCAGAGGGAAAGGCTGCCGTCGAACAAGATCTTCAATCTACTTTGATTTGACCTAAAACATGATCTTTGTAGACGATATATTTGATCATATTTTGATATGGCGGTGCCTAAATGTTCGCATAAAGGAGTCTTTGTAAAGCACTGACTCTCGAATGGTGGCACCAAGTCTGGCTGCAGTTTTTATATTTCAGTTTGTACTGTATTTAACTCACCAAAAGCACATGATTTTAAGGTCCCCGATTATAATGTTTTCATCAATATATTATAGGTCTCAGATATATCCAGAGTCTGTCTCTGATTGGCTGAAACACCAAACAGATCATTGCAGCATTACCCATAATCCCCTCTGTTTCAGCCCTGTTTCCAAAGTGCTGATTCTGTGACTGTAGCTTTAAATGAGCTGCTGCTGGCCACGCCCCTCTGAGAGATGATTGTTTAAAGAAACACAATGGTGTTCTAGAAGGAGATTCAGTGATAAGGTGGGGAGGGGGGTTACGTTGCTTGGTGATTGGCTAATGGTTACACAACCCCAAAAAACATTGTGTTAGTGCTGTTTTTTACACCAGGTTTATTGTTCTGCCCTCTGGTGTTCACAGTGTGTAATTACACTCTTGTTTTCCATAAGTATATTTTGATGGTGTTTTTCAGAGTATTTCTACACTGATGTATTACAACTTTTACTTAGGTAAAATGTACTTCATGCACCACATATTTGCTGTACTGTACTGCATTTGTACTACTCATACTTTACACTTCATAAATAAACTGCTTTTATTTAAATGAAGCTGATAATTATTGTGTCCTTTATTGCTGGTACTACATATAACTACATTAATAGGTTAATCTACTGATACTCACATTTAGAAAGTTCATATTTGAAAGTTACTATGCTACTATGTCTGTTTTAAAACCTTCCAGTGGTCACAATGTTTTATTTTTAGAGAGTTTTATTTTCAAAGTTAGTGCTGTTTTGAACACCATGTTTATTGTGCTGTCCTCTGGTGGTCACAATGTGTAATTGCAGCCATTACAATTGATAATGTGATACACACTGTAACCACCAGAGGGCAGTAAAGACAACAAATTATTATATATTTGAACAAAAATGAATTGGCAACATTTTAAAGACTTTATTAAAAATATTTGACACATTGCAATTGTTTGTCAACCCTTCCCTGCTTTTAGAAAACATTTTGTGCTTTTTGTTTAAATGTCAGTATTTATTGCAGTCAGTTTTCTTTCAAGGAACTAATATCATGTTCAGTAGATGTCTGTTTTTAACTTTCATATCTTATAAAGTGCTGTGAAGGTTAAATAAAAAGAAACACCTACATTTAACATTTCAATGGTTGCTTTTCATGTTTTCATTTTTAATGCTTGATTTTGTATTTCTCTATTTTCCTCAGCCTGAAAACAAATCATGTATTTGCCATTGATTGATTCTCTTAAACCATTGTTTATATGAAAAATGAATGCCTTAAATATTGACATTAACACTTTTTATACAGGTTTATACCAGCCGGATAACACTTCTGTTCTCTTCAAATGTTGATATGACATGACAGACAGTTTAATTATGAAAGTTGTTCAAAGAAAGGCACAGGTTGCCCAGTCATCGCAATCCTCTTTCATTTCCTCACAGCACTTCCTTTATTCACTTTGCTTCTTCAACAATAAATACATCTGACATCTGCCTACGTACTATATACATGGCATTTAAAAATATATACTTATTTACAATTATACATACATATTTCTGCATTTACATACATTTCTGTCAGTGTGAAAAATATCCATGATCTTATTGAAGCAACATTTTTTTACTTTTGGATGTGTGAGGTAAAATATAGATTGCTTTCCGTGAAAATGTCTTCTTTATAAGATTCTATATTCTACAATATTTACATAAAACTATAGTCTGGTTCAAATAAAGCGTCATTTCCTTTCCTTGTTTCCTCTGTTATTTCATCCTTGTCTTGTCGTCTCTCCTTTCCTTTGTTGCCTCTCCTGTTTCCTCCTCTCCTTTCCCTCTATCTATGTATCTATCTATCTATCTATCTATCTATCTATCTATCTATCTATCTATCTATCTATCTATCTATCTATCTATCGAACTTACCTTAGCATCTAATAAGCTATCTGGCTAGCTATGGCCAAATCTGTGGCTCTCTTTTTGGATAAAGTAATCACATATTGTCAATCGAAATAATTAGTTCCTTGTCTGAACACACTTTTATAACTTAATAACAGTTCTTTCAAAGCATAAAAACAGTTTATTTGGCAAGTAAAGGTTGATAGAGCTGGTGACGCTATGCAAAGTAATTTTAAGTCAACGTGGAAGCGCCAAAGAGCGGAGCATACGGTGAATAGCCTCCTATTCTTGTCTCCTTCCCTCACCTCCTCTCCTCTACCCCGCCTAGGTTAGTGACGGACTGTCCGGTGGTGAGCGACGCCCCCCTCCTCCTCCTCCTTCTCCTCCCCGACAGCTTCCTGAGCAGCGACTCCCTGAAGGTGCGGCACATCAGGAAGTAGATGACGGGGTCGAGGCAGACGTTGACGGCGGAGAGGAAGAGCGTGGCCTCCTTCAGCTGGAACAGCCAGAAACGGGCGTCCTCACTGAAGCCAGACTCCGCCCTCTGGTTCAAAGTATACGGGACGCGAAGCACGTGGTACGGAACGAAGCAAACGAAAAACACCGCCAGGAGGCTGAAGATGCTGCGTTTGGACTTCCTGCAGGCGTCGCTTTGCTCGCGGCGAACACGTCGATACGAGCTGTACAGATGGCAGGCGATGGAGGCGTAGCAAAAGGAGAGCAGGAACAACGTCAGCCAGAAGAGGGCGTTGTTGAAGTAGGCTAGGAAGTGATGCCACTGCAGGCCGAACCTCGTCTTCAGGTCCATGCAGCACCGCGCGTTCGTCTCGTTTGCAGGATTGCTGGTGAAGACCACGTTGGGCAGGACAGAAAGCAGCATGAAGACCCAGGTGAGCAGCGCCAGAACCCGAGCGAAGTCCACGCTCTGCAGGAGGTGCAGCTTGGAGACACTGCACCACTTTGACCTGAAGGGAGGGAAAGAAGTATCCTGTAAGAGTTTACAAAGAATGTACCCTACTGAAGAAGCGTTGCAAAAGGTTTAAGCTAAAAAAAGATGATGTGGTGGAAAGAATGTAGATATGGGTGTAATAACACACCTTGACCACCATAACACGAATGGTTGTAAATAAAGGAAGTTACCCGCAGGTGGAGGTGTTGGAGGACGTGTGTCGGACGATCTTGACGTAGCGCTCGAGGCTGATG